TGCCTTGGGCTGGTGAGCGACGCCGCGTACGCGAGGGACGAGTTGTCCTGTCCGACCGTTTGAAGCTGATTATTGAATGGATGGGAAATATTGATACCACTTAGCATGGAGTCTTGCCACTAGTTTGGGCGAAAATCAGTCTGAGTCAAGAAATGCTCCACGCTGTGAGGTTTCTAACTCATTCGGAAGAATGAAGGGCGCAGTTCGGCGACCGGGGGCATTTTGCACTCCGAACCATCTAGGGAGCTCTTTCATGAGCAAACAAGAGTTGGGTTCACCATGGTGGCTAGACGAGCTTGCTCCAGCTTCACAAGAGTTCACAGGTTTCACCAGAGCGGAACTTGTGAACCGGAACTAGTAAAGCAGTGAAGGTACAAAATGCCCCCCTGTCGCCGAACAGCGCCAGAACGAGGCACAAACTTGAACCCTGGTTAGCTTCTCAAAGCGTTGATTTATCACGCGATTTTGAATAAAATCAGGACACATGCCCCATGCTCTCAAATACAGATCCGTCAACAGCGAAAGCTCTACCTTCTACGTACCCACTGGTCTCAAGTAAGCGGGTTCATCTAGTGATCACTTATCCATAGAACTTCGGAGCGATTAGGCCTTTTCTTAACCAAGAAATTTCTAAGTTTCGGGGTTCTTAACTAATCTTTCATTCTAACAACGGATAATGAATAACTCGAAGAGTATTCGATATTTTGCATGGGGACGTTTTATGGGGAAGTTTGACAATACGTACCCTCCTGCATTGGTGACTCATGGAACCAGATATAACGTTCACTATTCACGGTGAGAAAGCTCTGTCACACCGATTCAAGCATTTATTCAGAGGTCGTAAAAGAGAGCAGGCGAGGTTTAAAGACAATTTCGGCGATCATGTGTTACGGGTAGTAGGTGCTCAACCATGAATCAGTAGCCCACTCCCCATTAAAGAAAGAAGCGAAAAAATGAAGTTAAGAAGTTGATGATGGGCCAATTGCTTGAAGAAGGCAGTTGTGGGGTGGTCCGTTTCGCCTCTTAATCAGACGAACCACTTTTTTCCGTCTCCCCCTGAGGCTCTTCAGTGACTAGGAAGAAGCGAAAAAACCCTGGGAACCTTCTGAATAGAGTTGCCCCCAGCAGTGGGCGCCTTGGACGAGTTTGTCCGGACGTCGGTAAGCCCAATCAGCAGGATTCGACGTGCAACCTATTCCCGGCAAGAGCACAGGAAATCACCCTACGACGCTCCAGGCAACGCTATGTACACACGCAATTCCGCTTGTAAGCCGTTGTCTTGCAGAGTGAAAGTAATCGTGGTTGCAATGGTTGCAATAATCACGCGTCTCTAGCTTCTTTATCTCGCCGTTTCGAGTGACGAAAGTGGTATATTCTCTGCGAATGCGGACAACGATGCCAAATGCACGGAGGCATTTTGCGGACCACTTGATCGCGGGAACTGCCTTTAACTTCTACTGGCTCAATTTTCAAAAACTAAGCCAAATTTTAATCGGACTTTGCGCCCGGGGGTTGACATAGCTGGAGCATTGTTCGTCGTTGCAGTAATCCCATGAACACGAAGCATCACTTTTTCAAAAAGCTTTGGAGCCGGTAGTCACAGACGCTGACGCCAAAGCACATGGAAGAACCAAATGTGCCGAAAACTCGTTCGGGGAGTAGTTTGACCAACTGAACAGGAATAGGACATTCGACGGCTTTAAGGCACCCAAACAAAAAGAAATGCATCAAAGAACCGATTTGGCCTCAAACCCAAAAAGCCCGTTATTTCTTCAGGATGGCGGAGCTGCTACTACTGAACCTGGGTGGCCCTAATCATATGCCCTTATATTGGGTCGCGGCGCATCCTACAAGGCCTGATCCGCTACCTCGTTGCTTTATGAGGGGCGAATAAGGGCCGACGATCTTGCGCCTTGACTAGGATTAAGAGCGGTGCTTCATGCATCGATCACTGTGACTTCTGATGGCTGCCTTGCAGACCCTCTGATCCGGTGTGTAAACTGGAACAAGTTTTTCCGAATCATAAGATCGACTCCTGCATTCGATCTCGCAAAAAGCGTAATTAGATTCAGGTCGATCTTCACTCCCTCGCTCAAGCAATCAGCTCCCCCAGCTTGATGTCAACAAGTTGTCAGAGGTTGGAGAAAAATGAGGTCGAACTCCAAGTACCCGACTTTCAGCAGATGAAAACACCCGTGGGATTGAGCTGAAGCAGCTTATCAAATGAGTTGTGAGGGCTTGGTTTTGTTTATGCAGCTTAAAGCAGGGCACATCATTGGTTGGGGATTTTGGTGGTCCTATGACCCCCCCCCCTCCCCCCTTTTCGGGGTTGTTGCGACCCCCCTCTAGGGAGTGCTTGATGCCTAATCTCCCCGTCCGAATAACACCCCACTCCTTTCCCACCATCCTACTCACCACTTTTCTAGATTTTCCCAGCTTCCTACCTCGTTTTCAGGAATTACCCGGGAGTTTTCCTACCTTTACCAAAATTTTTGCTGTCGTGCAGGGGGGAGTATATACTACACACGAGGAAAAACCACGAAAAGGCAGCAATCTCTCCAATCTCTCCCATCAGAAAGCCAGAAGTGTAAGTAGACCCCCTTTACATAGGAATCCTTTACAGGTCCCTGGAACAAGAAAAATCAACTATCAAAGTAGATTTTCTTTACTACCTCCCCCACCTCTCAGCGATAAATTACGATCCTCCCTGTAGGAGACCTCAGCAACGATTCGCCTGGCCTAAAGGCACGTTCTGCGTTAAACTAAGGCTATAACGTCTAAAATGTGTCAGATGATCCAGTAGGCGATTGTGGAGGCTGTGCTACATTCAAAAAGTGAAAATTCATAAAAATTCCGATGGTATCTGAACAACTAGGCTCATAAGCACCCTTTAGGCCCGTGCCAATCCCGACATTCAGACGGTTTTTTAAGCTTTTTTCTCCGCTTATCAGCTACTTAGCGTTTCCTCGTTCGTACCTGAGCTACACTACCCACCATCTGTTGTTGGGGGCTTTGCCTTCAACCGAGAACGAGCCAGTGCTATCAAAGAGTTCTAGTGACGGCTAAAAAAGGCACTTTTGGCACGTTCCCATGTTGCCTTTCTCATGTTTACATAGGAATCCTGTATAATTACACATCCAGTTTCATGGCGCTTTCGTTAGAAAGAAGATCGATATGGAAATGTTGTCAACAGAAGTTAATTCTCCTACTCACGCTCTTCCAGCTCGTGCCAAAACAACTGGAAGAGGCGGAGCAATGAAATGAGGCATTAGGCGTTGATGAGAAAAGAAGAATGGATGTGGGAGAAAAAAGAAACCTGCTGTTGCCCAAAGGCATCAAAAACGAGAAGCAAAGGAAAACTTCAACAATTTGTAAGGAAAAGATAAAAGAAACAGCTATGTAATCCCCTTATTGTCTCGATAATCTTCCAAGACCATGAAAAGTCTGAGGCGGCGCAGTTCGGCGACGGGGGGGGGGCATTTTGCACTTTTGATACTTCCCATCGAAGTGTGGAACAGTCAAGACAGCCTCTTTTCGAGTTACAGTTTTACCATGATGGCTTGGCGAGCTTGCTCCAGCTTCACAAGAGTTGACAGGTTTCACCACAATGAGACTTGTAAACTGGAACCAACGAAATTGCAAAATGCCCCCCCCGTCGCCTACCTGGGCCGTCTAGGGCATATAGGGAAGTTCTCTATGGAAGTGTCTGGCAGAATTCAAGGTGAAACAACAATTAAGAGGACAACTCTCCTCAAAGAAAAGTATCTCCAGAAACCAACCAACCTTGTAATTACTACTAGCCAGCCATTGGAATATCACATCACAAAAGTCGTTGAGAATCTTGGAATCAGAAGGCAAATGACTGACGGCGAGATGATCGAGTAACTCCCGACCGAGTTCAAGTCGGACTCGAGGGTCAGAGCCATTACGCTCGAGCACCTGTGACAGCCAAGACATGGCCCTGCTCAGCCGTACAGAATCATCGATACGAATAGGAGGGGCAGCGATAAACAGTTATTATTGGAACAGATGGCGTAAGGACAACGATCGCAACGACTAGGACGACGGCGGTGACGGAGAACGGACGACTCTATTGGATTTGCCGGACGAACATGCCTCCTCTGCGTCCCCAGCTTCGCAGATGGAACCTCCCCATCTCTCGCCGTCTCGCCTCTCGCGCTTCTCACCTGACCGGTAACGTGGTCCAGTTCCTAGCAGCAATTTTTCCTGCTCACAGCTGGACGTCTTGTCAACTGGACGGCTAGACAAAGTGAATGGTAGTCGGATTTCTTTGAGGACATAAAAGATGGCGTGTTGGAGACTTCCTACTGGTTTTTGTGAGCCTCTACAGGGCTTCGGATTAGGTGAGTGACCACTTACCCACAGTAGACACCCATCGGTAAGTTGTCGGCTTGTTCGGGAACATCTGACCTTCTCACTTACTAAGGAACCTTTTTCAAAGCGAAGTTAGCTAGCAAGTTTACTCGATCAAGACAGAATTCAGATAAAAACAGAACAAAACAGACAGAATGCCAGTTGGAGATGGTACATTAGGGAATCCCAGTCGAGGGGGTCGTATTCGGTGTCGTTGATTAGACGGAGATCGTATCACGGACATATAGCGGGTCGTATTTGTGTTGGGTTTTGAGAGAGGAGATTGCAGCGGTTGAAAAAGAATCTTTTCCGGTTGTCAATTATTCGCGGCTTCTCTCCCCGTTTCACATGTGCTATGTACCCTTTTCCCCTCCTTCCAATCAACAGCAAAATTTTGGGGGACAGGGCACATCATATTTCTGGATTTCCAGCGGAGAGGTCCCAGTTGCGTCTGGGAAAGAACTTTGCTTCTGACGATCTGTCTATATCCTGCATCAGGGACGCTTAGAGGGTGTATTTATTTCTCCGCTGCTGGGAGGAGGGGGTCGTATTTGACTTGTGGCCTTCTAAGAAAGGTTGTTCGCTTTCGTGGTTTTTCCTTTCTCGTATGTGCTACATACCCCCCCCCCCTAATCGATAGCTCGATAAGGAGGGAACTAGGGGGGGGGTCATACGGACTTCGACCGAAATCCCATTGAATGTGTCCTGTTTGGAGGAAAAACTAGGAAATTGTCGGGAAATTTCATAAAAACTGGTAGGAATTTGGGGAGATCTGGGAAGGTGGTAGGAAAAATGGGGAAGGGGGATCGTATCAGGGGTGGGGTAGGGAGGGGTCGTATTTTCCGAAAAGTTACCCCGGTGGTAGGACGTGCCCTGATTCGCAGATAAAGCATTTTACTCGTTCCACTCTGCTCGGATCCCTAATTTCGTGAGCCACTGCTGACTAGTGCACAATTGCCATGATCGAGTTAGCGGCGCGAACTCGTTCCCGCTAGAGAGAGAACCTCGCCATATTCATTTATTTAATGGTTTATTAAATTATTTATCCATGAAGTTACGTGATTCTCGCGCAGGATAGACCAACTAGTAGCATTGTGAACAGCCAAGGAAGAACAGCGACTGCTGAATCAAAAAATAATGCAACAACATATGATGTAGGAGGATAAACACACTGGGAAGTAAAGTACAGTATTGTTTGCTGCAAACGTTTGGGCGTTTCAGGGGAAAACTGGGCTCGGCTAAGCGCAGCGCCACTGTTCTCCACCATCCATCAATTGTGTTCATCTGCCAGCTTCCACAGTTAGTGGATAGCAGGCTGGTGCAGCGCCAAACCCTGCTCTCCACCCTTGAAAAGCCCCAACCAGCAAGACTGTAGCTGTCAATTGATCCGCAAAAACATAACACCAAACGTTTGGTTCTATCAAGATCCAATTAATCTGCTCGAGCTTCAACTGTATGGAGCTGTAACTTCAAACTACCGCAAGGGAGCACACGTTCCACGAAATCGCTCCGTCACCTAACAGTAAACTGGTAAGGATGAGAGGCACATTACGCAACTAGCACGTTGCCTTTAGGCTCTGAAGATGGATTCGTAGATGCTGACTGACTTTGCAGTGAAGAAAAATGTGGGTAGAAACGTCGAGACGTTCCAAGTAAGGCTCTAGGTTTGGACGAGTAAATGCAGTAACGCGACAATACTGTGCTGGCAAGACCCCAGA